CTTTCTGTTAGTCACTGATTATTTGCCCACTTTCATCTTTACATAGACATGTTTGAGTTTTGTCTTTTTTAGGTATTCTTAAGCCGCTCTAATTTTGTAGTTTTTGAAATTTTGTTTCATTTTTTCTATTTGTCCATTTTCATAGGCTCTATTTTATTTCTACATATCTTGTCTGCTTTTCTTCTTGCAATATATTCCGTCAATATACATTTTGTGTGCTTCATTTCTTTCCTCTATTGCTTGTCTGCACTCGTATTTGCAGCTTTTGTATGAGTTTTTATAAAGGCGTTAAATAAATAAATGTGGCGCGATTTTTGCCAATTTTTATGATTCTAGTGATATCAATACAATTTATCCCTTTTATTAACTGGCTACTGTAGAGTTTCGATAACTAGAGCCTAATTTTTAAACCCTATAACATGAACTTTTAGTTTTGAGTTTTGGCAACAAATAGGAGGCATTTGAAATACGCTTATAAAAATGCTTAAAAATCTAAAACATTTAAAACTGCTCTTTTTCAATTACACTAATACGTTATTCAAAACTACCAATTTCTGCTACAACTTACACTCAAAACCATCTTCTTGGAGGCATTTTCCGATCATTTGTAATGTAAAAGTTTAAATTCTGCGTTTCTTAGTCATATTTTAAATGCCTCATATTTGTTGCCACAACTTAAAATTTAAATTTTATCTTAGAGGTTTTGAAGATTGGTCTCTAATAATAGAAATTTCGCGATAACCGGTTAATTAAAGTGATACATTTTATTGATCTCACGAGAACTGTAAAAATTGGAAAAAATCGCGCAACATTTATTTATTGAAGAGATTTATATAAGCTGAGCTTATTTGCGGAAAATACAAAACTGGATAAGAAAGCTGCTGATTATTTATTGAAGAGATTTATATAAGCTGAGCTTATTTACGGAAAAATACAAAACTGGATAAGAAAGCTGCGCTCTTCACCTTTAAAGTGCATTTTGATTTTTGTCGATAAGGCAATCTGATCAAAAGATCGAATTTTTAACGTCGACTTGATAAATTTTTTTTACATTGATTTTGAGCGCCCAACTGACAACAAGCGTTGTTTCTGAGAGAACGGTTCATTCTACAGAAAAAGTGGTATTTAACATTTTTGTTGAAAATCATCTTAGCTACATTTTTAATTAAAAACATTTTTTTCTACGGCGTACAGGTTCTTGGTAAATCAATATTTTTTTTGAGTTTTTACCACTCTGCGAAAGGGGTTTTAGGGGTAAGCCCAGTAGTTAAAGTGGTAAACTTTTTTGCATCTTTACTGGGATCCCAAAATTAATATTCTCGTCAAAATTCACATTTTTAAAAGCTTCTCTGTCTTTTGCAACGTGGAATAATTCGTCTACAGTCATGTTTGTCCAGTCTCGAATATTTCGCAGCCATGACTTCCTCTCTCTACCTATTCCCTTTTTGCCATCGACTCTACCCTGCATGATGACCTGCAGAAGACTATATTTATTATTTCTTAGTATGTGTCCAAGGTATGCAGTCTTGCGTACTTTTATCGTTCTCAACAATTTTTTGACTCGACCCATTCTTCTCAGCACTTCCTCATTGGTGACCCTGGCAGTCCATGGGATTCTCAACATTCTCCGGTATATCCAAAGTTCAAAGGCTTCAATCTTTTTAACTATTTGCGCTTTTAGTGTCCATGTTTCTACCCCGTACAATAATTGCGACCAGACGTAACATTCAACAAACCTCAGTCTCAGCGCAATATTCAGATTTTTGTCACAGAACAATTGTTTGAATTTTAAGAACGCTGCCCTTGCCATTTCTATTCGTACCCGGATCTCTTGGTCTGGATCTAATTCTGTGTTGATGTAAGCTCCCAGGTATTTATATTTTGTCACTCTCTCTATTTGCTGTCCACCAAGAGTTAGTTGTTCATTATTTATTGGACTCCTTGATACTATCATAAATTTGGTCTTATCTGTGTTGATGTCAAGTCCCATTTGAATGCATTCACTATTTATTGCATTTAGTAAAGTTTGTAGATCTTCTATACTCTCAGCCATAATTACCGTGTCATCTGCAAATCTCATGGTGTTTATGATTTCTCCACCAATTCTTATTCCCTCTTTTCTTTCCCGTAAGGCTTTTCTGAATATGACCTGTGAGTACACGTTGAAAAGCGTCGGAGACAAGACGCATCCTTGCCTAACCCCTCTCGCAATCGGTATATTATTTGTTTCTTTATCGTTCACCTTTACTACTGCTTTCTGGTTCCAGTATATAGCCTTAATAAACTCAATGTCTTTTTTGTCTAAATTGATGTTTTTTAATTCATCTATTAACTTCATATGCTGCACTCGGTCAAAGGCCTTCCTAAAGTCTATGAAGCATGCACTCTTGTTATATTCCCGACATTTCTGCAAGAGTATCGTCAACGCAAATAATGCCTCTCTTGTACCCATGCCTCCTCTGAAGCCAAACTGAGTTTCATCTATCTGTTCCTCACATTTCTTATAAATTCGGTTTTGAACAATTTTCAAAAGAATTTTTAAAGGGTGGCACATTAGGCTTATCAATCTATAGTCATTACATGATTTGGGATTGTTGTTTTTTGGTAGAGGTAAAAATATCGATTTAAGCCATTCTTCCGGGATGTTGCCCTCTACATATATGTGGTTGAGTATTCGGGTGAGTCTCTTTATATTACCGTCATCTAAGGCTTTTAACAGTTCAACTGGAATTTGATCAGGACCCGGTGCTTTTCCTTGTTTTGCATTCTGTAGGGCATTCTTTACTTCTGAGGGTAAAATTTGTAGGTATTGTTTTTCTTCACCTATATCTTGTTCATTTTCTCTTTCGTCATGGAAAAGATGGATTATATATTGTTCCCATACTTCCTTTATTTTGCTCTCTTCAGTAAGTATTTCTCCATTATTATTTCTTGTTATGAGTGTTCTTCTTTGTCTGGTGTTGCCTGTAAGTTCTTTAATTTTTTATGTAAGTTTGAGGTGTCATGTTTGTTGCTGAGTTCTTCCAATTCCTGGCATTCTTTGTTCATCCATACCTCCTTAGCCTTTCTGATTTCATATTTGAGTTTATTCTTGATGGTTTTATATTTATTTCCATCTTTATTTTTGTATTTTCTTTTTTCAGTTATTAGCTCAACTATTTCCGGTGTCATCCAGTCTTTTTTAGTTATTTTCTCTTCTTCGCCTAGGACCTCCTTTTCCGCTTTTAGTATGGCTTTTTTCATATCTGCCCATTCCACGCTTCCTTCAGTTAATTTATTTATCTCTGCGTTTAGTTGCAGTTATCGTCTTTTAGGTTTTTGATGTTAATTTTGGTGGTTTTAACTTTTTTCTCCGGTTTCCTGAGTTTAATGTTGACGTTTGCTAGTAATAGATTATGATCCGTATCTGCATCTGCGCTTGGATAGGTTTTTGCACTTTGTACTCCATTACGAAACCTTTTGTTAATCGTTATAAAATCTATTTGGTTTCTGATTATATTGTTGGTGTTATCTTTTGGAGAAGTCCACGTGTATAATCTTCGTAGGGGTAGGTCGTAGTATGTATTTGTTATGACTAATTCTTTCTCCTGGCAGTACTGGACTAGTATGTCTCCTCTTTCGTTTCTTTTACCTAACCCAAAATTACTACTACTATATTTCCAGTTTTTCCTCGGCCGACTTTAGCATTAAAGTCGCCCATAATTATTTTTACCTCCTGCTTCTTTATGTTTTTTGTTACCAGTTCTAAGTCCGCGTAGAATTTTTCGACCTTAGCATCATTGCTATCAGATGTTGGAGCATACACTTGGATTAGATTTATGTTTAGAGGTTTGGCTTTCAGCTGAAGTAGCATCATACGTTCGTTAAAGGGAATGAAATTTGTCACAAACTCTTTTAAGTTATTGTTGATAATAATACCAACACCATGGGTGTGTTCTCCAGTGCTTTTGTAGAAAATAGTATTATTATCCTTGGTGTAGTTTCCAGACTTTGGCCATCGGACTTCTGAAAGGCCCAATACTTGTATGTCTAATCTCTCCATTTCTAACATGACTGTTGTTAATTTTCCTGCTTCATAAAGTGTTCTTATATTCCACGTTGCTATGCGTTTTAAATCGTTTACACTAAATTTGTTTCTCCACTCGGGGATTCTTTGCACCCCTGTCCCATTAAAGGGACGCCGGGCACTCGGGGCCACTGTTTGATTTACGTCCATTTGTGGTTGTTCTTGAGAATCCTTAGGGATCTTTAATGCAGTGGCTTCTCCTTGCCTTCTGCATCCTTATGCCGTTGATCTTGGTTCATCCGCCTTTGTGATCGATTTCTCAATCTCAGGACAAAAGAGTGCCCTTCCACTTACCAACTCATCCGCCCGAAGCCGTTGGTCAGTAAGTGGGGGTTTGCTTATACCGGCAAACATTCGGTGATTTCGCAGTGTCACAACCGGTTAAATCATAATTACCGCCTGTGATTATTCAGTATCAGACCGGTAAAGAGATTTTCTCTACCGCTCCGATCCTGTAATGACATAGCAGCTGCCCTATGCCATGCTCTCAGTTGATCTGCGTGTGTTTATTTGGCAGAGCCTTATTCACACCTGCCCCACATATCTGTAGGACGTTCCCTATCAGCCATTGGGACGCGCCGTGTTGAGGTTGAGAACTACCCCCCTCCTAGTGTGTTTTCCAAGAAGTACTGAAGAGCCCCTACTCAATTCAGAACTCCTCCTTCTTGGAAACTTGGAAACTACACCGGCACGACAGGACTAACGAAAATAATTTGATTTAATATGAACGTTAATTCATGGTTGCGTATATTTATGGTTGTTGTTCTACCCATGTAAAACCTAAAACAATTATTAGATAGTAGTTACAGTGACAGTCAAAAAAACTTTGTATTTTGGCTCAATTTTTTTGGTTAAGTTACAACACTTCCGTATAAAAAATTTTTGTACAATTAAGGTACGGTAATAGTTATTAAATTTCATTGTTTGTTTCTAGGTGTCATTACATTCGCATACTTTCTGATTGTGTACAAAGAAAAAATTATTCAAAAAAATAATGCACAGGAAATTAGTCAAAAACGAAAGACCATCAAGCGTGATAGTAATCAGGCTAACTGGCCTTTGTTTATAGGTAAGTTAAGCATTTATTTATTTATAAAATTATTTTAACAATCCGTGTATACATTCAACAAGAATTCATTTAATAGCAATATTTTATTACTATTTAAGTGACCGAGTGGGTCGGACCAAAACAACCACCAAGGGAAATTATTCTATCATTTAAAGCAAGCTTGAAAAAAATATGTGTGACTTGTTTCAATGGAACTACTCTGAGAGCTCTAGATTTCTCAAACGTTGGAGCAACTCACGTAACAATCTATTTCATCACAGATAAATGCACCATTGTTATGAACACAAAACACAACTACGATTTGGTGAGTACTATTATTATTTCCTTTTCAGCACGGCAACAATATATGTTGAATAAATATTTCGAAACTTTGTACTCTACGTTCTTATGTCTAAAATAATACAGGAAAAATAATAAAATAATTCTTGGGTGTCTAGAAATAAGATAGCCTCACACAAAATTGTGTAGGTTGCCTTCTCTTGTCCATCATCTGTAATATTTTTTCGGTTATCAAGTGGCGGCGCAAGATTATAATTTTATGTAGGCAAGATACATTTTGCGATGCCCTCTGCTCGCCGATAAAGACGGATTTTTTAAAATAAAAAACACGTGTCATTTCATTATTAAACTTTTATTCATGCAGAATCTAGTCAAACTTACAACTAACCTATAAATATTTAAGATATTAAAACTTGCCAACGTTAAAAAACAATTAAATTTTTTTTTTTTTATTAATTTATTTAATGTCGTCCGAACCACTGGAGTTATAGACGACAACAATGGAAAATACATATTGTAACAAAGAAAGGTTAATATTAATTACGTACTAACATTAAAGAACATTAAAGAAGATTGATATATGTAATATAAGTACAGTCTAGTTATTAATTTGAATATCTTTTATGCCTACAACCGTTAAAAACTTTATAATATTGTGTAGATGATTATTGTCTCTAAGAAGATCGCCTATGTCGCTGGGAAGGTTGAGTTTACTTCTGGTTTCCTGGAAAATTTGACATTCGGTTAAAATATGTTTAACTGTATTGTTGGTTTGACACTGGTTGCAGTATGGAGGATTGTCTCTTGTAATTCGGTAAAGATGTGTATGACGGGTGTGACCAATTCGAAGTCGAGAAAAGATGACTTGTTTTTTCCTCGGTAACACAAAGGCTTGTTTTTGTAAAACATTGTCTTTAATTTGCCTTAGTTTTTCGGCACACTGCGACCATTTGTTTTGCCACGCACAACTAACTATGTTTTTTAAGCACAATTTAAGATCACTTGGCACTATTTTATTTAATTGCACTTGACCATCACTTGTCGCTGCTTCGTGAGCTAGACGGTCCACAACCTCGTTACCATGTATTCCAATATGAGATGGAACCCAGATTAATACCACATGTTTGTTTTCCTTTGCAGCGTTTTGAAGTTCTTTGTAAATGTCTTTATGAATAGGATTGCTGGAGTATATGTTTTTGATGTCACAAAGAGCAATCATTGAGTCAGTTATGATTGTATAATTTCTCTGGTCCGTTGTGTTAATGAACTTTAGAGCTTCAAGGATTGCGTATAGTTCTGCGTTCGAGATAGTCCAGTTGTTATGCAACTTAAATTTAGCATTATGAATATTACAGAAAATGGCTGCGCCGACTCCGTCCGTTGTTTTTGATGCATCTGTGTAGATCTGTCGGTAGTCGCTAAATCTATCCATAATATCTTTGAAGTTGTTTATTAATATGGCTGGTGGGGATTCATGTTTATTAAATTTTGATAGATCAGTAATTACTGGTGGTTTATTTACAGTCCATGGAGGAGGAGGGTTTTCGGAAGGATGGTATATTGACGGGAATTGTATGCTATATTTATGAAGTAATCGGTTAATTCGTTCATAGAAAGGCGGATTACATTGAGGATGAGATGAGAAGTAGTGGCTGAAACGATTGCTGTGAACGTTATGGTAGACTGGGTTATCTAGAGAGGATAGAACTTTACAAGCAAACGACAAACTTAAAAAATCTCTACTAAATTCTAAAGGGGTTTGCCCTGATTCACTACATATACTTAGTATGGGGCTTGTTCGAAAGGCACCCAAAGCGACTCGCAGTCCCGTATTTTGGATTACATCTAGTTCTTTAAGAACAGATTTTTTGGCTGAGTTATATACCACTGAGCCGTAGTCAATTTTGATCGAACTAATGATGAAAAGATTCGTAGAAGAGTTGCCGTATCGCTGCCCCAGTTGATGTTCGACAGTGTCTTTAAAATATTAATGCTTTGCTGGCAAGTACCTTTTAGATTTTTAATGTGACTTTTCCAATTCAATGTTTTGTCAAATGTAAGACCGAGGAACTTTATTTCTTTTACAAAGATCAGATTTTTACCATTCAATGTTAAAATTGGATTATCCTCTTTTCGCTTTTTTGAGAAGAGCATGCATTTTTTTTTTCGTTAGAGAAACTGAGTCCTGTTTTGTCAGACCATTTCTGGAGATTATTTAATGCGCTTTGCAGGATTCTTTGGGTGGATTCTAAATTTGTTCCTCTTAGTAGGATAACCAGATCGTCTGCGTATAGTCTTGCTTTTACTGGATGTTGACATTGTTCCAAGATATCGTTAATTGCAACAAGAAATAAAGTTACACTTAATACCGATCCCTGGGGGACTCCATTTTCCTGGATTCGACTTGATGATAGTGTTCCATTTGATAGTACTTTAAATGTTCTAAGTTGAAGAAAATTTTGAATAAATTTTAGGAATTGTCCATTAATACCCCAGGAGTGAAGCTTTTTTACTATACCATATCTCCATGTGCAATCGTAGGCTTTTGTTATATCACAGAAGATAGCTAGACAGTGTTGTTTGTTAATGAGTGCTTCGTGAACTTCGGATTCAAGATCAACTAGGTTATCCGTCGTTGATCTATTTTGACGAAAGCCGTTTTGCTCCGGGATAAGCAATTTTTTATCTTCCAGAAACCATGTAAGACGACGGTTTATAATCTTTTCAAATAGCTTACAGGTTGACGAGGTTAGGGATATTGGTCTATAGGACTGGGGGATCTGTTTTCGGTTTTTGGGGTTTAGGGATTGGGATAATATATGATTCTGACCAAGACTTTGGAAAGTAGTGCTGAATCCACATTTGGTTCAAAACATTAAGGAGGTATATTCTAGCCTTTGTGCTTAGTTTTTGGAGAAAAATTATTGGTATATCATCTGGACCCGGAGAAGAGTTTTTTATGCCAAACAATGCATCGTCCATTTCTTCAAGTAAAATTGGCGAGTTGATGTAGTCTTCCGTGTTCTCTGTGATCATTATCTCCTTTTTTTCATTTCTAAATTTAAATTGAAGAAAATTTGGAGAGTAGTTGTTAGTGCTGGAATTTTGTTCGTAAAGGTCTGCAAAAATTTCTGTGATTTCTTGTGTTGAGGTAATGAATTGATCATTATGTTTTAAGAAACTAATTTGGGCGTTTTGCTGTTTTCCAGATAGTTGACGGATTTTCCTCCATAATGCAGACAGGGGAGTAGAGTTGTTGATGGATGTCACGAAAGATTTCCAGTTTTGTTTTTTAGTTTGCTTAATTTGATATCGAGATTTAGCTCTTAGTTTTTTATATTCTATTTGATTTTGTGTAGTAGGACATCGTCTGAATTTGTTAAAAGCTCGCTTGTATTTTTTGATGGCTTCGTCACATTTATTATTCCACCACGGTACTGGCGTGTGAGTTTTTAGAGTTTTGGTTTTTCCGACTGCTTTGTGGCCTGCTTCTAATATTAACTCAGAGAATTTTAGATAAGTTGAAGATATATTTGAGGTACTAGGGTCAGGGAGATATGGGAGTTTTTGCTCTATTTGGTCTGAGAAAAGTGTCCAATTTGCCTGGTCTAATTTCCATTTTGAGAGAGGAGTAGTTAAGGCAGTTTTAAAAGGACGGGTTATAAGAATAGGAAAGTGATCACTCCCGTATAAGTAGGGATGGACTTCCCAATTTAAAGATGTTTGTAGGACCGGATCGCACATGCTTAGGTCGATAACTGAGGATTCTCCTATTTGTATATTAAATCTTGTGGGTTCCCCTGTATTCAAGATGTTTATATTGTTACTGTCAAGTAATTGTTCTAGTACTTTTCCTTTTAATGATCGAAATTTGGATCCCCAGTAGGGACTATGTCTATTAAAATCTCCTAAGAGTATACGGGGAGATGGGATCTGTTGAAGTAGTTCCTCAATTACGGCAGTTGAAAAATTTTCACTCGGTGGAATATAAATGTTGCATATTGAGATCTTTATATCACTATTAATTGTGATTGCAACAGCTTCTAAGGGTGTATTTAAAGGTATTAGTTCTGCTTCGTACATTTGGTTGATATAGATTGCTACTCCACCACTTGCTTTATCTCTATTGGTCCTGTTTTTATAAAAGCATTTAAAACCCTTTAACCTTGCATGGTAAGAATCTTTGAAATGAGTTTCTTGAAGGCAAATAACTGATGGTGTTTGTTGAGCAATTAACTTTTGTAACATTTCGCAACGGGTATTGTACCCATTGAGATTCCATTGTATGATACATCTGAATGTTAAGTACTTAAGTTTTCATGAGAGGATGAGAGTTCGCTGTCCATTGATGCAGATGTTCTGGAGAGTTGATGCTGTAATTTTCTTTTAATGTTTGTGATTTTTGTTTTCAGCTTTTTTGAGCTTTGAGTGTACATAGTGTCCAGATCCTTAAGGAAACCTGGTACATTGTCTGTATAGGTTTTAAGAAGATCCAATATGTCTGCGTTGTGTGGGGCTGATTCAAAGAAATTTAAAGTTTGGTTATAGTTCAGTGTAAAATTGTTTTTATCGTCTTCAAACATTTGTTGTAATGGTTGTAGACTCTGACATTTGTCGTTTAATGGAAATCGTTGAAGTTTCTTGGGCTACCGTTTCAGATGTTTTCATTGGTTCCGTATTCTGTTTATTTCGTTCTTTGGTACTTACATTGACATTTTGATTAACTGAAGATGCGCTTATGTTTTGACAAGATTCATCATTAGACGCTAAAGTGTTGGCGACTTCTGTGCATTGGGCGAAATTCTCTAATGAAGTTTGCTCGTTATGTTGTAGAAGTGGGCATACTACAGCTAAGTGACCTGCTTGTTTACAAGAAAAACATTCAAGGTTGTCGGTTGCTAAGAAAATTCTGTATGATGTATTGTCGAAAGTTATTATGAAAGAAGCTGGCAATATTGCATTGTTTTCTAAAGGAGTAATATACGTTTGTCGGCGAAAACTGAGAATATGACTAAATTCTGGGCG